AGCTGCAAGGGTTACAACCTTTTCACGTCATATAGGTGTCGTAACAATAGGTTACAACTCGGCAATATGTTTGCACCAATTAACTGGTTATTTGTAGATCATCCAAATATTAAGAACAATGAATCGACTAACTTCTTTTTTATTTTGAAAGTTTTACATAACAAATTATATAATATGACAACCTGGTGTCATTATCCTCGCTTTTCTAAAAACGAAAAAGTGCAATGTCTGTAAGAACTATTATCATAAAACTGGTAAAAAAAAAAATTAAACTTGTATTTATTCCTTAAACCGTATTCACATGCTAAATTCTTATTGAGTGATAGTAATGTGAAAAAACAACAAAACATTAAATATCATATAAATCAGTTAATTGGGTCTAGAGTTTTGTGTTGTTTGGTTAATGCAATTAGTCGTGAGAATTATTGTAATTATCGCCGTCATTTGACAATTGATCGGTTTTTCCTTTCTAAATCCAAAAATAAATATATTTTACACCTTGATATTTATCATAACGAGTACTTTCCGCATCTTTATATCTTCAAATTCTGCATGCTTTGGAAAAAAAAAATTTTTTTTTTAATAATTATCCAGTATAATTGTCAAATCTAGCCGGATGATATTAATTATGAGCTCTTCTATCATCACGACCGCTTCTATCATAATAAGCATTATCCTCACTACTAGGGCAATGCTTCTACCACAATAGTGTGACTTTATAGTCTTGAGAGAGAAGCTCTTCTATCATATACCACATAATTCGTTACGTTAATGAAATATTTGATGTTAACAGACAGGCGTTAATCATACACCTGTGCCCTGAGGTTAGTGGTGGAACTGTGAGATCCACTTAGTTGCTTGTCGAAAATATTACCGTATGACACGGTGGATGATCCTGATAGGTTATGAAGCCGGCCTTGTAATAGGTTTTCATATTCAGTATCTACCTACATTGCGGAAGACAAGGATCATTGATGTTTACTTAATTAAATAGCAGAACTGGTGGAAAAAGAAACGTTAATTTATTCTTTAATACTAAATAAACCGAACTTCCGACATTGCTTCTGCTATTGCATCTTCTTTTAAACCAATCATTACTATGTGGCTGTGGAAATTAAAATATCACTCAAGACAAGACTATTAATAATCGTAATATTTTGCGAGTCTGTTACATGTATTGTCATTTTTTCTTTTATATTTTTGTTGTTAGCTTGGTAGAACGTGCCCATAATATCATCTTGTTGTTTTCTTTCAAAAAACCAACTACTGCATCTATTACTTCTAACATCCTAAATGGATCATTATTTAAATTTTACAAGTTAATTTATCTCTGGAAAATCTGATGCTTGCATAAAAGTACAGATTTATCAAATAACATCTGTTGGTGACAAACGCATAGTTCTTCACAATAATAATAACAATGAATGACGTGAGCGCCAGCTTACTATATCATACCAGGTTGTAAGTATGCAAAACGGGTCAAGGTCTAATATAATTGCAACATCAGGGAAACAAAGTAGCGTGTTTGCGTCGCCGCTTGGAGAATGGAAATGTTACACGAATTTCCAATGAGATTGCATCTTCGAGAATTTACTTCAACCTTGGGAAGCAATGTTAATTACCCACCCGGCCCAGTATCTCACCTTCGGGTGAATAGAGTGGTAGGTATAATTTTAGTGATGTGCAATTCGATAACGTTAGTAAAAGTCTTGGGATATTTCTGATTTACTGCATCTCTAAGATATTTCATATTTGTTACAACTATCCAATCCTAAAATATTAGGAATTGAATGATGCTCTGTATTTGCGGAAAGAAAGAAAATTATTTGATCACTAATTTTTATAGTAATAGTAAGAAACTATAATTAAATTATAGGTATCATCACGAACAAACCAGAATATTTTAAGCAGCTCAACTTGTAATTCATTGCACCACTTTATTATTAAATCAATTAGTGTCCATGACCTGGAACCACTGCAGAAATAGCACAATATTTTATATGTAGATTTGTACAAGCTTGAGTTTCTGGTTATAGCTCCAAAATTTCTAAAATTACATAATCTAGGATTGTTTTTATCCAAGATCCAAACAAATATTATTGGCTAAGATCATGTAGATCTTTCATTGAAAGCTTCATTAAATGGTCATACAATTTCCAAAACTATGCATTATGTGTGTTTTTAACTGCTTCACAAGCCTACCAAAAATAGTCAATAGTTTCAAATTATAATCATAAAGTTACCAGAAAAATGGACGCCCAGGTTTAACATTCAAAATCTACCATGTCTCTAAAGTTGGTGTGAAATTCTGCAACTAGTTGTCAATCTAAGTTATAATTCTTGGTTTAAATATAGCTGTTTTGCCATTTTTTGACCTGTGATAGTATTAAAATTAATATCACAAATTTCCCTCTATTATTATGTAACAATTATTGTTGTTGTTGTTTTTAAATATAAATAAATATAGTAAAAATAAATAAAGTCAGTAGCTACCATTGTGGAATAAATTTATATTTAATAAATAATAATATTATTAATAAGATAAATTTTGCAAAAGTATTCTTTTGGGACATGTTCTAATTATTTCATATGTTTAAATGTATGAATTTTATACCCACAATCCAGGACCACTCATTAAACAGCAGAAAACTAACAAATTTAACAGCTCATATCTTTGTAAGTAAATATAGTTTTTTACTTGTAAAAAATTTTTTAACATAAGAAATCAACAAAATCAATCCAGTGCAATGTTCAATCTCTATTTCAGGGTTAATTGTTGATTTTTTTGATTTTTTTTAAAAAATGATTTAATGTCTTTTTGGTAATTCTATCTATAAAAAGGAATTTGCAGTTTCACAAAGTTTGTTGTGTTATGATTATACTCTCTATGATCATGAAGCATTATTGTCTTTGTGTCTATTATGCCGAGGTAAAATTGTTATATTTTAAAGAACTATTACCTTTTTGACCAATTAATGAAAGAGCAAACAATTGTTTTTTTGATCAATTATATCTTAGCAAACAATAAACCATCACTTTTTTGGTTAACAAAACTATTAATTTCTTTGATAAATGAAGAACTATTATTTTTCCAATTAATTAATGATTGAGCTGTTGCTTTTTCGATCAATTAATAATAACAGTCAAATGATATGTTACAGGAAGTGTAATTACATATATAAAATAGAAAATTTGACTCGTATAACAAACCAGTTTTTTAAAATATCTCATTATTTTTATAACAAATACAAACATTATTATTAATCAAAAATAAAACTATGACATTATAGCTTTCTAACGAGCTCTCTCCCATATTGATAGAGGCTCTCTGTGTCAAGCTATGTTTATTCAAAAACAGCATTACTTTTTATTTCAAAGCTAAGATTTTTTACCAATATTACCTTTATAAACTTGGTGAGCAGTTGAAAAGATGTAAAATATTGTAAGTTTTCATATAGGTATAGCTTTATGTGGATCATTGTTTAGTGAAAATGGCAAAAAACATATTAAATTTTGATAAAAACAAAGGAAAAGATGGGGCAGGAGATTATCAGGAGTAATGACCAAAAATAGATAATTAATTTCCAAATGCGGTAATTTGGTTGATAAATTTTAATACCAAGTTTTTTCTATTTTATTAATAACCTCTCCTAATTTTTTTCCAAAAGAAGGAATAAGTCCTAGATTGGTGAGCAAAAAAGGGTTAAAATTAAGGTTTGTGGCTAATTTTATTAATAGAATTTCAATGTTGATCACCAAAAAATTTCAGAAAATGCACTTCCCAATTGTTTAATATGACACATTGTTCAACTAATAATAATATTATTATGTTGATGTTTTAAAATACTCATGTTACTGTGGCTTTTAAAGACAATCCTAATGCTAAATTGGGAAGGTGCAATGTTTAAATATATATTACATATGTAAAAGGAAAATCTTGTCATCTCAACTGACCCTTTTAACTTCAACTCTCTAATTATTACCTTTACTGTTATCTTTACTATTATTTGTTTCAAAACACATATATTGATTGCTATCTTTATATTTTATAATATCAAAAATATCACTATCATTATCATCATCATCTTATTTTCTCATTTATTACCAAAAATGACTTCAATTTTTACTGCCTTCTGTTACATTTTGAATTGCAGGTCTATCAATGGAACTGCTACATACAGGAGTGACAAATTTATAGAGACATCATTTTCAAAGGATTTCTCAACCCTGACAAGTATAAGCAAAATAATTGTGCAAAAGGAAATTTACCATTTTGAAATTGATGGCAAAAGTGCATCAAGACAACAATGTCCTCTCCAAAATGCATTTGCATTGATGGTTCACAAAACTCAAGGTTTAACCTTACCACACATAATGCTAAATGTTGACAAAAACATGTCTGCAGAAGGTCAAGTATACATTGTGATGCGCTGAGCCACTTTTCTGGATAAGTTGCACATCTTGGGATTTGACTATTCCCAGCTAAAAGTCTCTAGAGCACCTTAGAAAAATATAAAAGATTGGAAGTTGTGAATAACAATGGGTTGCAATCATTATAAATAATAACATAACAACAATAATAACAAATGTTATAAATAATAATACTGACAACAGCAACAATGATAATGGTTGCCTGTTTCCCCTCCTTGATGATTGTGTAAAAAAAAAACTTATTTATTTAAAATAAAATTGAATTCGACCAATGAAATTTAAGATGGGATGTGTCTGTGAAATGTGAACTTGATATGTTAACATTGATGTGGCTCACATCAACTGATCCCTTCTCTTCTAAAACTTGTTTTTTTATGTATGGTGTGCTGCATCTAAAGACATCAAAAAAAATTGCAAATCTTTAAACCCTGATAACTTTAGAAATATTTGTTGGCCCATAAAAAACTCTCTATTTTTGCAATCTTTGGAGCATAAACAACAATGTAATAGAGATTTTTTAAAGTTAATTAGTAAAATAAAGAGTTATAGGGGTTTAAAATTAAGTAATGTTTTAAAAAATTCGGCACGCCTATCAAACTAATTTGACCAATCAGAAAACTAACTTTTGTCACGTGATGCATGTAACAATTTTTTCTTAATCATTCAACATTCAATGATAATACACCTACATCCATTAACATAAATTCTGGCAATTTTCTAATGAGATTTATATTATTTTTTTTTGCTGTAAATATTACAGCTTTTCCTGAAAGTCCTAATAGTTGGCTTGGTCTAAAGACCTCCTAAATTTTGGGCAAATTTTAAAAGTATAGAAGTCATTTTCTGTCTTATTTTTTAAAAAATACTCTATTAGTTGATAGAATATGTATTTAGTTTTAATGTAATATAGAGAGTTTCTAAAATTATTTGTTGTAGAGTTCTATTCTTTTTTAAAACATGTACTTTACTATGCTCATGAGAAATTTGAGCGCTAGGATCATTGCTAAATTTAGATTAGTTTTTGATTATCGTTACTAAATTTCGACTAACACTCAACCATCATATCTAAATTTGGCAGTAAGAAAAATAATTTTTAGCCAAAATCACGTGAAACCCTTTTTTAGAATCACGAAATCGCATTTTTTTGAAATTTGAGCGCGTGGCGCAGTAACAGGAGATCTTTAGACCGAGCCAACCATATGACATCTTCTAGCAAACCTTCCATTTTACAAAGTGAAACCGAGTTCAATGCCAGAGGAACAGTTCTCTCTAATTCTTTAAATAAATAATTACAATTTTTTCTAGTATACTCTTTAGTTACTTCCCAAAAAACTTTCTATATAATTTAATTCACAATGATACTTCGGATAAAAGTTAAATATTTTTTTATTCTTAATCAGGAAGGATCATCATTAAAATTTTCGGTAAATGGCGCAGCATTTGATGTCTTTAGATGTGGCGTGCATATTAAAAATAGAGTGATCAACACATATTTTATGCGACATGCTTGCGTGCCGATTGAATTTTTAATGCGGTTCCTAAACTGTAATGTACACGAGTGAGAGAAAATATCACGTAAAAACAGTTTTGACCAATGAAAGAAAAATAGTTTTAAAATCAAAAATTTGGCTTTCATTGATTTCTAAATAAATTGTTTGGTGTAATTATTTTGAATTGGTTATTCTGAGGAATATATAATCATTTTTGGGCCATTGTAACATAATAGATAAATGGTAAAAATAACGAATTGTGTGTATTGCACCTTGAGCAACAATCATTGAATTATTCTTTTTAACTCTCACGTTTGGTGGCAAGTTGTTATTTAAAAATAAAACTATGCAATGGTCATCTATTGGTAACCTTAAAAAACTAGATTTTTTATAATTAGGTTTTAATAAGGTGTGATTGCAGATTATTCTAGATGTAATTTCCATCTATGGTATACGCATGAAAATTTTCAATTTAACTTTTTTTTTTTATTCTTGTATATATATTTAAAAAAAAAAATTTTTTTAATTTTTAAAAAAGAAAATGTCAACGCAAAATAAAACGTTAGTAAAGGATTGATTACTTTTGTTCATAATAAATTTGAGTATTTTGAGTATTTGTTAAAATGCCATTCGTTTACATTTATATCTATCCTCCATGTAAATAAATAACAAACCCATAGACGTAAACGTAAGTGGGATCTTGATGATCAAGGAAAAGAAGCGCCACCCTCTTCTTCTACTACTACTAGTGCACCCACACCTAAATCAATCAAAATTGAAACTAGTAGTGACGCTTCTGGCTCTACTGCACCATCGCCGACTCATTCTAATACTTCTGAAAGCGTTGATCCAAATATTGCTGCTGGTTAGTCATCAAGACAAAATTTTTATTATTATTATTTACACATTGACACACCTTTTGTATTAATTTTCTTCCCTTCCCCAATTAAATAAAACTTGTTTAGCTGTAGCTGTTGCAAAAATTAATGCGATGCTCGCTGCTAAAGGTATTCAAGTTCCTAATAAACCTGTGGCTGTTGCATCAACAAGAGCAGAGGCCTCAGAAAATGGTGCATCCGAGGTAATTATTAATATGATTTTATATTTTGATGCCACTTGTAAAAATTAAAAAGGAGAATCTTGTTGATACATTTTATTTATTTTATTTTATTTTTTTCATAAATAAATTGTAATAAAAAAGGAACCAAAACACTTAAAGTCTACAATTAAAGAGTCTGACATGGAGTTTACACAAGATATTACAATTAATGATTGTAAAAATAGATACCTTTTAACAAAAGGAGCTACTCAACAAATGGTAATATGTCACGAATTATCTTGGTTTGTTTAATTTGTTTTCTAATCATCGTCATCATAATTGATTTTCTAAACATGGTAGATTCAAAAAGAAACTGGAGCAGGTTGATACTTTATTGGTTTATTTTATTCGTTAATTTTATATTTGGGAATGAAGTTATATTATTTTTAACAATAATAACTTTACATATGTGTACAGACGTGACAACAAGAGGAAAATATTATCCTGAAAAAAGTCTTGTAACTGATAAAGATCCTCCGCTTTATTTGCATGTGACAGCACCCAGTAAAGAATCATTAGACGCTGCAGTTAAGAAAATTGATGAATTGATGGAACAATATTTTGCTCCTGCTCCACAAACTTCAACTCCACGTCCATCAGCTTCTCACATAGCGGGGGTAAATTTTATTATTATTTTAATAACGATTATACTTTTTCAAATAAATAAATTTCATTTATTTTATTTTATATTTAATATAATTTAGCGGCAATTTGTTCAAGATAAGGTATTTGTGGGAATAGAACCTGACCGCACATTTAATGCGAGAGCAAAAATCGTTGGACCACAAGGAGCTTACGTTAAACACATTCAAGCAGAAACTAGTGCAAAAGTACAATTGAAAGGTCGAGGTTCTGGTTATGTTGAGCCTACATCGGGAACAGAAGCTTTTGAACCACTTCATATTCATATCACGTGAGTCTCATTATATTATATTTTATTCCTCGTTTAATTATTTACGTAACTTAATGTAAATCTATATTGTCTATTTTATTTAGATGCTGGAGTCAGGAAGGACTTGAGAAGGCAAAAAAATTATGTGAAGATCTTATTAGTACAGTAAAGTCAGAATGGGATAAACATAAAGCACAACAAGCTACATACCCTACTTATGGAAGATCACCGTATCCTCGTCCTCCAGCTTATGGCCTACCACCAACTTTACCAGGGGTATTTGTCAAGTTTTATTTTATATATATGTATATATATTTATCACAACAATAGTAATGATAACGATAATGATAATGAATTATAGGGCTATCCACCACCACCAGCTAACCCACCACTACCAAGTGGACCAGCTCCACCGCCACCACCACCTTTACCAAGTAGCAACCCGCCACCACCACCACCAACACCACCACCTCCTCCTTCGCTTCCACCATCCTCGTCATCAGCTGCTTCTTCCTTAGCTTCACCAACTTCCACTGCTGCATCTCAACCGCCTCTTCCATCTTATCCACCTGCGACTCCTTCATCACAAATATCTTCTACACCACCTCAACCAAATTCTTCAACAAAACCTTCTGCTGCTACTACTGCTACTAATAACAATAATATTGCATATAATAGTAGTAATTCATCGAATTTATATTCAACTACATCAAATGCTTATGGTCAATATCCAGCAGCGAATGCTCAAAGTGCTAATGCAAATGCCACCGCGTATAATCCTTACAATCCATACAATCAGTCCAGATACTATCAATATCCCCAATACAATTATTATTCACAAACCAATTCAACACAAGCAACCGACTATTCTAATTATTATTATGGATATTCAGGATATCCAGCTACTACTACTGCTGCTGCTACAGGATATCAAGCCAATACTGCAGCATATCCTACACAAACAACAGCAACAGCAGCGACAACAGCAACAACAGCAGCAGCCACCGCAACTACATCACCAACAACTGTAAGCTCTGCGGCAACTACATCACCTTATTCAACTGCTACTGCCACCACTGCCACTGGTACAGCAAATACTTCATCATCATCAGCTTACAATGCTAACGCAACAAGTTCTGCTGCATCTACATCATCATCTTCATATGAAGATAAAAAACAACCTACATCTTATCATGCAGTTCCACCACCAGACTTCTTATGAAAATGAGGTTAGTAAATATCGGTGAAGTTTTATTTAAAATTTCTTTTTTTATTTTTTTTTTAAATAAAATTTTATAATATATATATATTTAAATAGTAAAATTAATTTTATTTTCTAACAAAGTGAAACAATATATATTTGTGTAAAAACGGTGCGCAATTGCGCACACTACTTACATAAAAGTTTTATTTTTCTTTAACTCCAAACTTATAAATTACAAAAATTATTTTAGAGGCGAATCATTATTGGGATATTTAAAAACTTGGAATTTTCTTTAGCAACTAAAGCATATCTAAGAAACAAAGTGAATAAGAAGATATATATATATATATTAATTGATCGTTGTTTGATATCTCTCTTTCACTCTGGATCGACAATAATCGTATAAATTTTTTCTTTTCAGTTATATATATATATTATATTATAATTCTGTTATATTTTGTTATAAAATCAGAGGAAAAAAAACTAAAAATTTCTTTAACAATTTAAGTTTAGACATAAAGCAAAATTGAAGCTAGATAACACATCCTGATTAATAAATGTCATCATTAAAATAGTTATATATATATTTCAATAAATAATAATAATAATTCACAAGGCTAGTCTTCTTTATTTGGTGATATAATAATATTCTCAATATATTGCATAAAAAATTTAATTGTTTTTTTTTATTAATTTTAGATAAATAAAAAAGATTTATTACTATTTATTATTTTTATTTAATATTTTTTTTTTTAAAAAAACGGACTAATATTGATAAATAGCTATTCAAAACTTGGATTTTTTATCATCAATATTATAATTTATTTGGAATGAATCGATTGGTTAGTGGTTAAATGTAGTTGTTTTATCACTAGATTGTATGAAACAAAAAATATCTAATAAAATATTAAAGATCAATTTATTATATATCCTTGTATATATGTTTATGTCAAATTGTTTTTTATTTATAAAATATTGATTCAAAATAATAACAATTTCTCGCTGGGCCCCGAAATCAAACCGAATTAATGGTCGATCAAAATGATATTATTATTAATAGAAAATAGATGATCCGTAGTAGTGGAAGTAAACATAGATGTTTTCATTTATTCATTTCATTTACTTTTCAATTTTGGAAATTTTATTAAAGTCAGTGACAAAATTAAACCCTGAATTTTCGAGTTGAATTTGATCAATTTTGGTTTTGGCGTAACTGATTTTTTTATCCCTAATAATAACAACAAGTAAATCAAAGTAAATCAACAGATCTTTCTTTATATTATTAATGGTCTATTGTTTTTGGCTAAATGTTTGTCGTACCTTGATTTTTTACGCCAAATATTCTTTCTTCTTCACCCTTTAAAGGTGAATAATAATTTTCTACTCCTCTCTCTGTTCTTTTTTTGAATTTATATACTTTGTATATAATTTTTTTACCTTTTCATATATATAATATTTTTTTAACGTTTTTATTATTGAAATGTTGACAAAAAATCTTATCACCACCGTAATTTTGTTTTTGGCAGCATTTCCCATACAAAATCTTGCAATACCTTATAATAATGAAGAGACCGCAATTGTACCATTATTGTCTTCTGTGAATGCTCAGGTTATACCTGATCAATACATCGTAGTTCTTAAAGATAAGCTTGATAAAAACACAGTTGACTATCATCATAACTGCGTGCACTCTGCCATCGCTGACGAACAACAAAACATAACAAAAAGAGGTCTTTCGGATGAATTTGTCTCTGGAGTTCGTCATGTCTATTACTTGAATGGTTTTAAAGGCTACTCTGGTAAATTCAGTAACGAAGTCCTCAATCTAATTAGAAACAGCAAAGAGGTAAATAAATACTTTTTTTGTTTTTTTCCTTTACAAAAAAATTTATTATTATATATATATATATATATATATATATATATATTAATATATATCATGCGCATAATTAATGATGATTAAAATAAAATCAGGTTGCATACGTTGAGAAAGATCAAGTTGTATACGCTAATGAACTTCAAAGAAATGCTCCCTGGGGTTTAGCTCGTATATCACACCGCTCTGGATTAACCTTCAGTAGCTTTAACAAATATATCTACGATGAAAGTGCCGGTGAAGGTACAACTGTTTACATTATTGACACTGGAATCAACATTTATCATGTTGATTTCGAAGGTAGAGCCGTATGGGGTGTCACTGTTCCTGACAACGACCAAGACATTGACGGAAACGGTCACGGTATGTATTACATGTTATATTTATAATCATAAATCTAGATATATAAAAAATATATATATATATAATTTTTTTTCAATGTATTCATTTATTATTTTATCTTTAAAAGGTACACATGTGGCCGGTACAGTTGCTGGTAAACGATATGGTGTCTCGAAGAAGGCAAAGGTGGTCGCAATTAAAGTTTTGCGTTCAAATGGTTCAGGTACAATGTCTGATGTTATTAAAGGCGTAGAGTATGCTGTAGAGTTCCATCTTGCTGAACGTGAAAAAGCTCGTAAAAGAGGAGTTCCTTACAAAGGCGCAGGAGCTAACATGAGCTTAGGTGGTGGTAGAAGTAGAACTTTGGATAATGTTGTCGATTCCGTAAGTTGATTGATTTTATTTTACTTTTCTTTTTTGAATGAATCTAACCAAAATAATAAATAATAAACAGGCTGTAGATCATGGTCTTATTTTTGCTGTGGCTGCCGGTAATGATAACGGTGACGCTTGTAATGCCTCACCTGCTGCCTCAGAAAAAGCAATCACTGTTGCCGCTTCAACAATTGAAGATGAGCGTGCATGGTTCTCAAATTATGGCACATGTGTCGATGTGTTCGCTCCCGTAAGTTTCAAAGATAATATTTATTATATTTATTATACATTTATATTATATATTGTGAATAAATTTAATCAAATTAACCATCATTTATTATTCTTTGTTATTCTTTATCACATATATATATATATGTATATATAGGGCAAAGATATCACATCAGCCTGGATTGGTTCAAGAACAGCTACAAACACAATCTCGGGTACTTCAATGGCCTCGCCCCATGTGGCTGGGTTAATTGCATACTTCATGGGTCTTGAACCAGACTGTCAATCAGAATTTTATACTCAATCTCTCTCACCAAATAAGATTAAGGATGACATTATTAAATTGTCAACGAAAAACGTGTTGAGCAAGGTTCCTGCCAACACTAAAAATCTTTTAGTTTTTAATAACTATTCTTGAATAATCGATTAATTAATCGATATTCGTAACATTTATTTTTTTTAAATAATAGTCTTAATTAATTTTTTTACTAAGACAAACTTTTTTTGCTTTTACTTTTTACTTTTTTTGAAAAAAAACAATAAATAATTAAAAAAAAATTAAAATGTTTTAATTTATTATTATTATTATTGTTTTTTTTTGAAACAATTAACAAAAGAACCATATATAATAATTAAATTATATTTAATTTTTTTAAATTACCCATAATTTCAGATGAAGTTGCTTCAGGATTTGCAAGTGATATTTCCATCATCATGTTTGTCTTAAAAAATTTTTTTAAAGAAAATTAATTACTATTAATGTGTATAATACAAATCAATCAAAAATTTTAGAAAAAATGAAAATACATACCATAGTCAACACAGGTATAATCAATGGATTTAAAGTATAAAATGGATCAGGTCCTAATTGACTTACTGTTGGAATCGTAATACTATCTTTTTCCAAACTAAACTCTTTATAACCGTCATTGTTATATGTGCCGTCACCACCAAATTGATTGAAGTAATCAGTATAGAGTGTATTATAACCTATTGTAGATTCTTCTGCTAGATAAACTTGATACTTGACCAATAATTGATTGAAATTTTCATTATTTTCCATATTATTAAATGCATTCTCATAATTATCTAATAATTTCAATTTATTTAGATATTTATCTGTAATAATAGGTGGTTTCTGAAACACATGTCTTGCAGCTTGGGCCTGCTCCAAAAAATCAGATGTTAAGGATGATGTAGATAAAAATTCTCTTGTTAATTTTGTTATAGAAATTTTTTTGGTTATAGTTTTAGTTGTTTTAATTTTATTCGATGGTGATGTTGTCATTTTTGTTGTTGATGATGGTGTTGGTGTTGGTGATGATGATGATGATGATGATGTTTTCTTTTTTTTTTTAGAATTATTGGATTTTGATTTCTTGGTCGACAAAGTTTCCCATTTTGAAGTTGATATGGTGACTTCAAGTGCACCCTGTGATTCAATTAGATTTTTTAAAATGTTTTCAATGGATCCATATGCTTTAATCAAATCAAATGCTCTTACAGGACCTATACCAGGTATGGTGTTAGAAAAATCAGTGCCACATAGAATGCAAAGATCTATAAATTGACTTTGAGAAAGTCCTAATGATTCTCTTGCTTTTTTTGGAGAAATTTCAATAATAGGTTTTGACTTGCTAAAAAGATTTCTTAGCAAGATTCCATCACCGTACAATGTTGTATCCATATCTTCAGATACCGTTGCATTTGCATATCCCGATGCCGCTAATGAAGCACATAATGACTCTGCTTCACAGTCATTAGTCACTATACAAGGAAATCCCCATGTCTCTAGAAATTCAATACAATCTTCATACATTTCCCATGAAACATACATTGCTCGATTTTCAAGTGTCACCGCCATGTTATGACTTTCAGCATGTACATTTTCCACTTCGTCTATAAATGATAATTTGTTACTATTATTGTTATCATCATCATCAACATTGTCTTTAATTTTTTTATCATCAGTAAGAAAACTATCCAATAATTTTTGTTCCATTTGTCCTATGATCTGTTGAGGTCTAGAATAAAGCCTTTCATCATTTGTTAATAGTGCACTATCCAGTAATGTTGATTTCACTATTTCTTCCACATTCTCCTTCAAAAGGATTTCACCAGATGAAGGCACAAAATCTGGATGTCGTTCTTTAAAAGTTTTCTCATTATCTATTTTCGACATCATTTCTAAAATATTAGTATTTATTGTTGGTGTTATTATTGGATCTAAATATGGCGACGGTGCCTCTAATGTTGGTGGTGATAGTTCTAGTGATGATGGTGGTGTTTCTAACAATGGAGATTCTATTAGTGATGCTGGTGGCGGCGACGATAATAATTCTGTTGTTGTTTTTATTGGTGATGGTTTAGCTAGATCTGATTGTGAGGTTGGTAAAGGTGGAATGGGAATATCATCCTGTAAAGGGGATGCATGAATCTCTTGATCTGATTTTAACTCGACGGGTTTTATTTCATCGGATTTGATTGTCTCGGTTTGTAAAACAATCTGATCTGATTCAAGTTCAACAGATTTCTTGGTAGGTTTACTTATTTCTTCAATGGTTGGAGCTGATAATGATGATTGAATATCAGCCGATTCATATCCATTAAACATCTCATCAAGTATCTTATCAAGTTTTGTTTTGTCATCTTCTTTTTCTTTTTCTTGAGGTGGTATAGCAGGTTTGATAATATCTTGAGGTAGTGGTGGTGGTGCTTGATGATAATCAATTTGTTTTGTTGATATTATATCAATATCACTAGCAGAATCTACTGCATGTCTCTCTTTGGGAGAAGGATCAATGGCTTTTGTAGTGGTTGTGGTTGTTGTTGTGGTTGTTGTTGTTGTTGTTGTTGTTGTGGTGGTTGTTGTTGGTTTAATAAATAATTGTTCAAAAGCATTTTTGACTCCAGTATTTATATATTCCGAATTAACATCGTTTAAATTCTTCATCTTTTCATGAACATCTTTCCATTTTGCCAATCGATTTACTCTTATTTTTTCAAATTTAAGATTATCAATTGCCTTGTTGTAAACTTCCCTACGTCTCATGATTTCTCTTCTTTTTTCTTTGATTCTAAATTTTCCATCAAATACAAATATAGGTTTAATATTATGTTGTTTTAAAAATATTGTAAGGTTATAAAAACCAAGTATATGAGGATGCGGATGTACTGTTATAGGTTGATAGTCCTGTTCTGTGGTTGCAAAATAAATACTGTTAGAATCAAATATTTTACGATAACCATGCACAAATCTTTTCAGAAACATACTGGCATCTAATGCCAATACTTGATCTTTATATTCTAAAATTGATTTGTTACATATAGAATCTGGAGCATTCTTTTTTAGAAAGTTTGTTAAATCTTTGACGCCCATTTTTTTATTTTTTTATTTTTAATTTTTATTATTCAGATAATCAATCATATACATGTTGTATAAAATAATTCTATTTTGGTTCAAGTGCACATGGACATTTAACAAATTAGATCGTGTTGGACATGGATAGAACCCTTGAATTGTATTACCTTGATATTACCGAGTTGATGGGGTATCCCAATTGTTCTGAAATATTTGTTGTTGTCCTTATTTTTTTTCATATTATTGATTTAATAATGTTGTACTTTTTAATTTATTGGTTATAATTCCAATTGGTATTAGTATTAGTATTGGTTACGGGTTTTCCAATGTGTCTCTCTGATGAATGAGTTACATGATGATGTGAGTTTTATGATGAAGTTGTGGGTGTTATTGCTAAAAACATTATTGAATTTGAATTGGGACAATTGAAAGTCCCTCTTTGACACCCATTTCAAACGTGTAAAATACAATATATTCATCTTTAGATATAATATGGGGCATACTGCAACAAAACCACCAAGAATTTCGGGGATCAAAATTTAGTCATTTGTAATGTGATCATAATTGGGGCATGCTTGCAACAAAATCAGACAAAGTGAAGGGAATTAAAATGATCTTTAACTGATAGTAAATATCAGATAATAAATTTTATTTATTTCCTAACATACATAAATTCTTAACATTTTGACAATTATTATTTTAAAAACAACAGCTACTTTTTAGTCAATTTTTGTTTTTTAGGAGTATTGTGAGTTTTCATATTAAAAGATATTCTTCTTTCATCATTAATGTTATCACTATCATCACTATAATCCTCTACTTGATTATTTTTTGGATTAAATGATATAATGTCATCATTGGTATCATTTAGAGATGGGAACCGCAATTAGCCGCAATTCAATTTTCATATGCCGCAACCGCAACCACAATTCAATTTTTGTATGCCGCAATTAGTTGCAACTAATTGAGGAACCATCTTTAGTATCATTGTCATTATCTTCTGCTTGACTAGTTTGCTCTGATGATATAAAAGCTCCTAGTATCCTAAGGTTCTTTTATTTTTTTTGATCAGATCTTTTAATGAATTAAGTTGTTCAAAAAAATAAATAAAATCTTTAACATCAATTTCATCCTTTATTAATGGCAGTCCAATTTCCATAATTTTTCTCATTCCAAAAAGTGGGGGATAATTCCCTTCTACATCTAACAACAGGCCTATTTTTTAAAAAAAGAACTTATAATTTGATATATAGAATTAAGACTTTTTATCAATGAATGAATTAAACTATACTCACCATGCAAATGTAATGAAAATAAAGTTACACATCAATGATACTTATTATATTTAGAGATGGGAACCGCAATTAGCCGCAATTCAATTCTCATATGCCACAACCACAACCGCAATTCAATTTTTGTATGCCACAATTAGTTGCAACTAATTGAGGAACCATCTTTAATTATATTATATTTTTTATCAGGTGAAATAGAATATAATTTCTTATAAATATAATTAAACAAATCTTTACAATATTTTCCTAATCGTAATTTATCTTCTCTGATATGTTTATGGTTTATATTAAAAGGCCCATTGGAAATTTCAATATATAGTGTTTCAAAATTTAATTCTTCAATGCCACTTTCTAGTACCCAAAGAACATCTGGACTATACATGTAGCCCAAATTGGTTTGGTGATTTTGATGGTAGAGAGATTTAATTATGACACTCACTATTAAAAACATAAGTGTAACACCCCTTTACTACATGTGTAACCACTTTATGACAGTCAGTGTCAAAATACTTTGGGCTGCATGTATAATCTGGAAATCTTCTTGGACCAAGCAAATTATTTCTATTTTTGGTTGCAGTGCTCTCAACATTGAACCTATCATTATTCAATATATTCATCAAATCAGAATCAACTTAAACTTTTGTTACAAATAAACATTTTACTAACCAGGATGTTTCAATATTCAGCAAGTCATCTTTTAAAAAATTTACTAAATACGTAGCAAATTCATGTGTATATGTTGGTTCTGTAATTGATTTTTTCTTCTGGTATTTTTTCAAATCCCAAATATTTTCTCTAAAATTTTTTAGATGTAATTGTTAAAAATCACAGGAGTACAATATTGATAAAAAAATGTTATATTTTTAAAATACCCACATGGTACTAAGAAATTTTTTTACTGTTGACAATAGTTTTGAATCATCATGTGTATAATATTTTGGATTTTTTTTGTCACAATGTTCAAAGAAATTAACCAGATACTGTTTGTAATGTTGTGGAATCTGGTAAATTGTTTCTAATTGAAAAAGTTTGTCCCAAAGTTGAGCTTCTTTGCAACAGTTTGTTTATTTTCCTCAATCTCATATTTTTCTATGATACCAGACAATATCAGTTCATAGCCAGTAAAATTTTTGATATTGTCACCAATTAAATTTGGGAGAGCGTATTTTTAATTGGTGATAACAATTATTTTTATTTTTGCATGAATCAGAATGAATAGGGTTAACCTTATCACGCATAACGTTAAACATTGATGAAAACACGTTCGCAGAAGGTTAAGTCTACGTTGCGATGAGCTGAGCCGCTTAAGTTATACATCCATCCTGGGCCCAGCTAAAGATCTCTAGAGGTTGTGTTGCAATCGTTATAAGTATTAATACCAATAACAACAACAACAATAATAGTCGCTTGTCCCCCCTTCCTTGATGATTGTGTAAAAAAAAGCATGAATTTCTTTAATATTAAACAATCGTTATAAATGATAATACCAGCAACAACAACAACAACAACAATCACTTTGTTCTTTTCCCTCCTTGATGATCGTGTAAAAAAAACAATGTATTTCTTCAATAAATAATAATAATAAGTTTGTTAAAAGTTGAACTCACCCGATGAAATTTAAGATGGATATGAGACATCAAAAAAAAAAAAAGATTGTAACCATTAATATGGCTCACATCAACCAATCAAATTATTTGAATAAACTTCAATGTAATTCGAATATATACACAAATTCATAATAGCCTTTTTGAATAGGTGCGCTAAATCGAACAGGTCAATCTAAAACTTGAATTTTCAAATTCGGGCCGAGTTCAAAAAAATAGGGATTTAAATTGTTTTTAGATAATGGATTGCATAAATAAAATTAAAAATATAGAATTAGTCATTTGTTACCTAAAAAAAATCAAACTCGCGTCATCGAGCCTATCATTTCTTTGATCGAGCTCGGCTTGTTCGGTGCTTTAGTCACGAATAAGGTTTCTGGTTCAAATTATCTTCGAAAAAAAAGTAGCTTTAGCAATAGTTTGAGTTTCTCAATATTCTTTATAAGAATAAACATGAAAAAAAAATTTTCATCCAATTTCGACTATATCAAACTGAGCCACTATAAAACTGATTTTCGCTTTATGACGACCCAAATTTGGTTAACCAAATCATGTTTAATAAAAATGCAACTTTCAAAGCCGAATATTTATGAAAACCAGTTGATGATTATAAACTGGTCTTAAAATTCGTCTTATAATGATAAAATTCGGTTTACTTCACACTATCAATCGCCAAAATTTTCACAAATCAAATTTATTATTTTATTTCATAAACCGAATTTTGATAAGCCGATCCTATTTTTGTGATTCCCAAAAGTTCGGCTTATCGAGGTTTGACTGTACTAACTATTAATAAAAGTTAGTTTGGGCCTATAAAAATTAATTCTTGCGTAAATGTTTCGGTTGTTAACACTATATGTGGGATGGTAATTGCCTAATTACCGTAAGTATGTACTACGTAATTATCGTAATTAATTACCATTTTCCTCTTTAAAAACGTAACAGGTAATTACGAAATTAATTACCGTATTACGGGTGACACAGGTGGCGAAATTAATTATGAATAACAACGAATTAATTATTGGAAATATCATAGTACAAGTCACTCCCGTTATAACAACACTCTCCGTACAAAAAATGTCAGTATGTCGAGAATGTCATTATAACGGGAGTTCATATAGAAGTCATATTACTACCCTTAAGGATAGAGTGTAGTCATGTGATTTTATATGATGATCGGTGAAGATAAATAACTCCCGAACCTCTTTTAAATCACTTGTTTCATACGCAGATACACCAAAAACTAGTTTTCATGAGACGAAAATTAACACACCTATACTCATCAAAAATTTTCATATGACTTCTAACTCTATCTAGTCCACCAATTTTAAAAAATTTTAAAAAGTAAATGGTGCAAATGATAGGTTAACTGATTCTCTTTAAATTCCACAGATTAAATTTTTTAATTACCTAATTTTTTGGGGAGCTGATGGCGTTTAAAAGTATATAGTCAATTTTATTAATAAATGTCCAAATTCGGATGACAATCACTACCAAATAGTGTATATTTTTATCATGTGAAAATTTATGGCTAAATGATTTAGGGATGGGGCGGTCTCTTCATATGGTCCATTATTTGTTCATTATGTTCAAATGGCTGAGCTGCTAAATAGAATTGGTCAAAAAACTGCTTCAAGCTTGGTTCTATTTCTTGGAGCGATCTTTGTATTTCATCAAAATCGTATATAGCACCTTGATGGCTCTAGTGAAATCAATCTTTTCATTTACCTCTTCCTCTTCCCCTTCCACATCTGTAGTTTTTACTCTCCTAGGTTCTCTTTTTAAAGGATTTTCTGCAAAATTCATATAACAAATGTTACATAAAACATGTTACCTTCACTAAGTTGTTGTTCTCAGCTTCTTTCCATTTATTGCCTTTTGTTGACAAAATTTAGCTGATTCAGTGGTTTTACATTCTGTGCAATGTTTAATTTCACACAATTTTTCTTTGAGCAAATCGTATTATGAAAGTTGTGGGATTCGAAGGGATTCAAAAGATATGATAACAACAAATATATATAACAATAATGTTATTACACTGATATTTTTAATCTATATACTATATCATATATAGTAAAATTCATGTTACAAAATATATCATATGGCAAAATGTGTCAATCATTTGAAACCACAACATGATTTAATGTTAAACGCCTTTAATCCATTTAATATAACAACAAATATAATTTATTCAGATATAATGACTGTTTGTTATTACAATTTATCATTACAAAATAGATATATTGCGTTGTGGTTGTCCAATTTTAATGATATTTTACTAATTTATTACTTTCTCCATGATCTAATTTTATTATTTCAGGAATAATTGATGGTGCTATTATATACAGTTGACAAATCAATAATAAAGTAATACTTCTCTTATTTTTATGTTTTACAAATCATATAAGCCACATAAATATTTGATATGTCCAAGCTTTTACAGAATCTTGAGCTTAGGCAAATGAATTAATGAATAAGAGCCAACAAGTGAGTGGGTGAGATCCTTAACCTTCACCCATAAATTACCAATCTAACTTTATTGTTGGATAAATTGTGAATTAAAAAAATAATAATACATTGCAAATATATAAGATATATATATAGATAATGGAAGCCTGTATGAATAATTACTTGAATATCTAACCATTCCAAAAAACGTTTCTTACTAAATTTTTTGCTCATGTAAAGAGTTTGTGGTTGAGGTTAAAAGCTAGTAATGATTCATACCAAGATAGTCTCATTTCTATTTATTACTACACATATATATATATATATATATAATATAAAAATGAAATATTATTTAGTATAACTTTTTCTTATAAATTTCTAAATTTTTTTTTATAAATCGATAGTTATTAAGGTTAACTTGAAGATTATTCATTTAATTTAACAAAAACATATAGTAGAGGACAAGAATTCGTAACTTTACTTGTAGAATTCGTGGCATATGTTGAACTTTATTAACAAAATTTATCAAAAGCACACCATCCAATAGCCTTAATCCTAGAGAGTATATATACAAAATTTTGTCAAGAAGTTGTTTCAATTTTTTTTTGCCAATATGATGTGCTGTGTAACTGAACTCTACCCTTAAAAAATTTTAATTGGTGCTCACTGCGTCTCTATATATAGTTCTTTTGATTTTTTTTTTGTGTAATGTTGTGTCAACACGTCCAACATTTATTATTTTGTTGCTTATTATTCGCGTAAATAGCCATTTAATATACAAATCCAAAAAATGAACTCATACCGAAAAAAACTTATTGAATCTTTAATTATTAATTACTGGAATCAAAAGATGATTTCTAAAAACACAGGGTTTTACAATTGTCTTCAACAAATTGGCACGAAGATTAATTTGACTTCAGATGATAAGTGGGAAGTTCATAGACTTTACTATAGTACACTTTCAACTCTTAGTGAAGAAAGCTCAATCAGCCAAGCAGTGAGAAAAAAGATGGAAGCCGAGAAAAAAGATTTTATGGTATGCATATATGCAAGGGAGGCAAAGTGAGGCAAATGAAACAAGTTGCAAACAAGGAGAATCATATAGAACCACTTTAGACAGCCATATGCAAAAGGAAAAGATGTATTTAAGCTCCCTTCATCTCACGCAATTGCAGGAGGAAGATACGAATGAAATTGCAGAGGAAAAGGATGAAACCACAGATGAATATGCCTGCATTGAGAATGAAGTGTTTGATGTGGAAAATAACAAAGGTGATGATGATTCTACCACACATAACCAAGCACTTGTTCCAAATGAAGACATCCAATTTGTTGAAAGAGATGATCTGGATGCCATATATCAAACTTGACATTGGATATTATCTAGTGGTACAGATGTGGGTCAAATTTTGTCTGAATACAGGCAAAAAATTCCATAGTCACAAAAGTGTATTGTGTGAGTTAGCTTTTTTACTACCGACTGTGTTTAAAATCCAAATATTCATGACAACTATTGTTTTCCTTATATAGCCCCATCTACTGGGGAATCCTCGATTTGACAGGATCACACCCAAAAGACTGGGCCGAAATGATAAAAAGCTTTGAAGATGAAATAGAATTTAACAAAGAAGATATACCTGATGTTTTATATCTGTTTTTTGATGAAGTTGAACTGGTAATTAATGACAGTCAATATACTCTTACATTTAAGATTTGGACTCATTAATTCATTCATTTTAGATAATTAGGAGTAATGAAAGGAGCGAAGATATTATCACAGAAATTGAAAACATCTCCCCATAGAAAATGGAAACAAAGCATAATATCATTCTTAACCCTAAAGACAAAATTATGTTAATGAAATTCAAGAGAGCCACTCTTGTTTAGTAAGTGAAGCATACTACAAATATTTGTCTTGGGAAAAATTTTGTAATCTGAATTTCTTCAACTATATTTATAATTTCATAATGAAGAGAATTTGGCTTACATTGATTTGCTGGTATCTGAGTCTGCTTTTGATAATTTGTTCACTAACATGCTTACAAGAAGATCTCTTGATGAAAATGAATTGAAAATGGATATGTGAATGATCATGTTTGATTTTTAATATATCAAGAAATTATAACCAGTGGCTATTTATGTAATTAACATACATACATGTATTTCTTTAGAGGGGAAATTTGTTCTTGGGCTTCATCTCAAAGACGTAATGAAGGTTGTTTGATAATTCTTCATGCCCAAGTTGGCCAAAAATGTGATTTCCGAGGGACATTAAAAAACAGTGTTACCAAATTAGAAGCATTATTAGGTCTCCGAAGTGGTGGTCTCCCTGAAGCTCACCGAAAAAAAAATTTTTTAGATGCTCCCGACTTGTCAATCACGATGAGGGATACTCTCTATGCATTTTTTAATTATAATTCAAATGCTCCTGACGAAGAATTACATAAGATGTTTGTTTTTGGTGTCCAATCTTGGGGTAAGCTTATAATTAACACAAATTGGATTTCATTATAACTGCTTACAAATACTTTTATATTAAGGTTGGGAATATCAAATTGTTGCAATGGATTGCAAAGGAACAAATATCTGTCGATATGGAAAGCTATCTACAAAAACACTTGGAATCCTTGAAAAGTTCTTTGTTGAAATGGAAAACATAAATGTATTTTCATGCTATTTACGAATTTTTCCTAACAAACAGTTTAAAAATAAAAAAAGAAAATGGGAAATAATATTTTATGCAACTATAGGTTAACCTTAATTCCATATGCAAAAAATCAAAC